ATGTGCACTTTGTGGCACCTTAAAGGCTTTTGAGGCTTTGCAAAATGCATTTGGCACACATGAAAAGGTTCTCTTGCACTCCTGGATACCAGGAAATCCCAGTATCTAAAAAAAAAGCTTCAATAAAAAGTGAGACAGCACACATGGCAGCAGCATGCGATACCCAAAACTGTAGCCTGGCCAGCCAGAACCACACTCCAGCTGCTGGCCAGGTTCTGTGCACACAGATTACCACTACTAGAGCCCCGGGAAGCCCCAGGACCCCAGGTAATTGTACCTGGGGCAATTTACTGTGCGCCAGAGTGCATGTGCAGGAGTGTTCCTCCGAGACAAGGAGCAGTGGTACAACTGTGTGCTGCTGATATTTTTCCCCAAGGAAATGCATGTGTGCACTCATAGGGAGGTACCCTCTGGGTTTATCTTGTGAATCCTGTGTGTTTGCACATCTTACAGTACTAATATTGTGTGGCACCCTGGTTGAGAATCACTGCACTACTCTGAAAAGTGGTGCAGCAAAAGTGGTCCTAAAGGGTTCCATGTTTTTTGTGTCTGGGGTTTCCAGCTAAGAATTGCTCAGTTAAAAGTGCAAAAGAGTAGACAGAGCAATTAGGGCTCGTAGTTGAGGTGATATCTTTTGTTAGACCAACAAGATTTTTGCAAAAATAAATACATTAATTGCAAGCTTTCAGGCACAAATACCCTTCATCAGGCATTAGAGAAAAGATTGTAAAAGTTCTCCTCGGTAGAAAAGAAAGTTCATTTTACATAGGATTTCACAGAGGAGTTAATAGATGGAAAACTCATCTGGGCAGGCAGTTCTCAGCTGGTATGGAGTCTCTCAGCTCTTGTGAGGTTCAGCTCTAAACCAATATGGCTACAACCTGCATACCTAAAGACTGGACAGGTTTTTCAAAGCTGAGTACTGAATTTATCCACATGACTCCCATTAACTTCAGTGACAGATGTGTTGTTAAATGCCAGTCAGTCTTGAAATATCTCAGTTCTTATTCCAAATTTGCAAACTCCACCAGTGTCTGTATACTACGAGTGGGTGTGGATGGGTGGATGCATGGATGGAAAAAATGGAGTAGAGTAGTATAGGATAAAAACTTGTAACTGAAATACATATTATTGGCTATTTGCCACAGCATATGTTCAATCTACACAACAGTTTTGTTAGTTATTGTATATGATGCATTAGCATAGGGGAGTCACAGTTCAGGAGAAGGATCCCAGTAGGCATTATGGAAACATCAAACAAAAAAATAAGGTCTCTTCTCCTAAAGAGTTTACACACAAACAATACAAGAATGCTCGTCAATGTGATAGACAATAGTCACAGCCAGAGCCATCCCTGGGGACCCGCACACCCCTAAGGGATAGCTCTGGTCACAGCAGTGGGTGCCTTATGTCCCTAATCTGGCAAAGGATGGTTAATGATTCCTTCCAGAAGAACTGTCCCAAGAACCTGAGAACTGATGTTTGGTCACAAAGGCTTTGCTTTTACCATTTACAGTGTTATGGTAGGCAAGTCACACTGCCCTTTAGATCATCTTCCAGGCTAAGCATATGTTATTCTCCATCTAACAAGGGGTCCTGCTGCTATGGCAATCTTTTCTTCACCCTGCTGACTTAGATTATTGATTACATGTCAAAGCAGCTTCCTCATTTGTGTGAATCTATTGATAAATAGCAGGAGTGAGATAACATTACATCTCAATGATATGTAACTCATCAACCCAAATTGTCAAAGCAAAAATAAAAGACATTCCTTTTTGTTCAGTATATGAGGATGCATAACTTAATTATGAGCTATTGTATTTGTCAAAGATGGGGGGGCATGTATGTATGCAGAGATAACTGCATGGCTAATGTATGTATATGAACACCCTGGATGCCTGCATGTTGTTATATATTTCTTATCTTAAAATGCTGTCTCGCCTTGCTGTGTTGTAATACATATAACGTATGCCACTCTGGAGGCAACTGCATTTCTAGAGAGAATGAATAGGGGAGTAGGTTCCAAAAGAACTCCAAAAGCCAATGATGGACCCTAAAACCAACAAGGATATATCTCACTCCTGTCTTCATATGAACACATGTTAATCACACAGATCAGATGACTACTTTTGCTATTACACTCTAAGGGCATGTCCAGACGAGCATGCACATGCCTCTTGCAGCATCTCAAAGTCCTCTGAGATGCTGCAAGAGGCACGTACAGGAACAAAAAAAGTTCAGAAAATACCCCAGGGGAAAAACTGGGGCAGGGTACAGTCAGGACTGTGCCCTGAAGCAACTGGAGGCTCAGGTCCTCCACAGAGATGCTCTGGTAGCCAGCCAGAGCATCTCTATGGATGGCCCTCACCCTGGTGCTGAAGCACGCTGCATGCCTGTGTGCACCACTGTCTCCCTCTGCCCACAGAAGGGGCAGGGGACCAGGGTGTCTGCGAAACTTGCCACATATATACCCGTGGTGATGGCTTCATGGAGGAGCCGCCAGCTGAGGTCCCCAGTAGCTCGTGGGATGAGGGTGGAGTACAGACTCAGCCACTGGGGTGCCCCAGCCATGCCCTCACCAAGCAGGTCCTGCCACTTGGTGTCTGGGTGGGACGTGAGGGCGGCATGATGGATCACGCAGCACACAAGCGTGTAGATGTGGTGGTGATGGACCGGTTTGGTGTCCGGTCTGGTGTCCTCCAGCCAGCGCAGGTGGTAAAGTGGGGAGCACTGCAAGGTCAGGCAAGACGCCAGCCCCAAGACATACTCTGGTGGGCTGGAGTACATGGGGGGCAGGGGCAGAGACCGCCACTGAGCAGGACCTGGCCAACAAAGGCAAGGGTGTCAGAAGGTAGGGCAGATTTCACCTCCTGGACCAGACAACATGTCACACATGTCATGAGTAGACTCATGCACCAGGCCAGCTCAAAGGGGTCCACCCACTCCTGCCTATCATAGTCCAGGAGGTCTCCGATACAAGTGACACCAGCCAGGATCAACCTCTGTTGCCACTGGGGCGCCTCTGCTGTCAGCACCTCCAGAAGGGGGTTCCAGAGGAGGGGCTTGACGAGCAGGTTGGTGCCCTGGGTAAGTGTTGCAGGGGACCTGGAGGCAGAGACCAGCCTCCAGGCCCAGAGGAGATCATGGTAGAACTCTGGCAGCCCTTGCAGGACCTGCAGGGAGAAGTCCCACAGGCTGAGGAGCTGCCAGTGTTATCGGAGTCCCTGGAAGTGACAGAGGAAGGAGCGCCCTAGGTGGCCCCATGCTGCATGGCTACTGACACAGTATAGCAATCGCTGCAGGGCCTGAAAGCGGAACGTCAGGACCTGGCTGCACAGGCAAACCAGGCCCTGGCCACCCTCCCACCAGGGGAGGCTCAGGACCTCTGCAGCAAGCCAGTGCCGTCCTGGCCAGAAAAACTCCAGTGCCCCTCTCTTGAGTCCTGCTAGGACTGCAGGGGACACAGGCAGGGTGTGTAAGTGGTGCCAGAGCATGGACAGGACCAGATGGTTAAGCACCAACACTCTCCCATGCAGGGAGAGAAACCTCAGGAGTCCTGCCAATGCCTGGTCGCTCCACCACCTTTGCCTCTAGCTGGTGCCAGTTCTCCGGTGGGGAAGGGTCTGTGGGGGACAGGTAGACCCCCAAGTAGAGCAGCGAGCCCATGCTCCAGCTGATCCCATGGAGGGCGGGTGGGAGTGAGCCCACTGTCAGGCCAAAGCTCTTGACCCAGTTGACCCAGGCAGAGAAGGTCGTTGAGTACAATGCCTGGCAGGCCTCCACCTGCGCCAGGTCACCTGAGTCCTGGACCATGAGGAGTACATTGTCGACATAAGCTGACAGGACCAGCCACACCACTGGCTCCCAGAGCATCAACCCTGCCACCTGCCTCCTCTGGGGCTTGGGACCAGTCATGAACACCCTGGGAATTTTTGTGTGGGACTGAGCTCCTCAAGCCCTGGGTGTTCCTTCTTGGCTTTTCCTCCTTACCAGGGGATCTCTGGGGCTTGTCTCAGTAAGTGGAGCAAGAGCTGCAGGCTTTCCCAGGTCTTGAGGGGCCCCTTGCTGCCTTGGAGTTCCCAGGGTGATTAGAATCAGGCTCCTCAAGCCCCAAAAGAACATGGTGCCCATTGTCCCACAGCATCAACAGGCAGGGACAATGGGTAACGTGTGTTTTGCCCAATGAAGCAGATCAGCTGTTCTGAGGTACCTCCCAGTACAGCTGATCCATTTCATCTGGTGACATATTTCTAGCCTCAGTTCATCTCTGAATTAGGGATTCAGAGATTCTATAGATCCCAGTATGCCAATAAATTGCCTTATAAAATCAGATAGTATTTTTAATAGGTTTATAATAATTTGTTACAGTTGCTACTCATGTCTATGACCTACTCATGACATCTAGTAATCCGTTATAAACAATTTATAAAGGGACTTTGTATGATCCTTAATTCTCTATGTCTCCTTGTTCCCTGTTTATTAGGTTGCTCTGTTGCTTGGCCTACTCCAAAAGGTCTGTTTCATGAGTCACACTTTTTCTCTAGCTGCTCAAAGTTCTCTTTGCTCTCAAGATAGCAAAGTGGTTACAGCTTTATGTTTTTTTGAAATTCTGTTTACCCTTTCATTTTGCTTGGGTATAAGAAATAATAGGCTTGAGTGAGTCAGGAAAATGAACAGGAGATTTGATGCTAAGTTGTTTGCCGGGAATAACCTCAAACTGGCTATGCAGAATCCCCCACCTTCTTCGGTCTCTTTTGTCTCCTATGTTGACATATGACTCTTGAGAATAATTTACTAGCTTTTCTTCAGGGTTACTTTATAGATGTCACAGCTGATGACAACCTCATATACAATAAGTTACCCAAGGTAAGAGCTCCTTGTCCTTATTAATATCTACTGCTGGTGGTGCTTATTGATCACTGGTGAGATGGTGACATTTTATTGGGAAACTGGTAGAAGAAATCTCGACATTGATGCTGATGTATTCAGAAAGTCACCCGGTTAATGGGGTGAATTTCCAAGTCCATGGTGTCTGTCCTTCAATCATTTCCCTGACTTTCTGTAAGTCTGCAAGTCTCCCTAAGGAGTCATCAGACCTTCTACTTCTCCATCTCCAGCACTGACAAGAGGTCCCTTTAGACTCCTCCACTCTGCCACAAAGGGGGAGGAGATTTCCAGGCAGAAGACTTAAAAAGGGAACCCCAAATCACATACAGATCTTTTATCACACAATCTTAGCTAAACCTTTCTAAGACTACTGATTTGCAGGGCAACTGAGTATGAAGGTAAGTGAGACTCTTTTGATATGTGGAATCATGTCAGTAAATACTTTTTCCTGTATTTTCAACTGAGTATATTGTTTTAGAAGCTAAATTGCTTGGTTTATAATTTTCTAACTTTCTTTTATATGCAAGAGAAATATTACAGCTGTTTTTGGTATATTATAAAACAACAGATTAAATGTGCCACTACTAGCACAATTTCTTCTCGAAACTAGCAAATGGAATTAACTTCTAGGAGTACTAATAACTATGTTATTGTTTACTTGTCACATGAATTGATGCATGAAAAACTAGGCTCACATTTAGTTACAAAGTAGAGAGGTAATTTAGTCTACTCAGGACTTGTGATCAGTATATTCATTTGCAAGTCCTTTGTCAATGTGTAGTCCTCTTAGATTTAAATCTCTCTTAATAATATACGTAGGATCAGTCAATAGGTTCAATAATACAAATTCTATACTAAGGTAAACAACTTTTACTTACAGAGGGCAGTGACCTGCTTCAAAATACTAAGTCTCCTATGCTTGCATATTTTATGAGATTTAGACTGTGTAATCTCTCTTTTATCTCTGGATTCACCGTGCTCATCACCACAAAGTTTTACGTGATTGTAAACATTAGCATACAAAGTTCTTCTGTCAGTGTGATATGAATATCCACACTTGCTCCTTAAATTCAACGTGAATTTATTGAGGTGAGGTAGTACTGAAAGAGAGAGGCTTTGGGAGCAAGGGAGTCTGGAAAACATCTCAACATCAGGAGGTGAAGCTGAAGAGAGAGGTTGCCTGGGGATCTAAAAGACATTTTCCCCATGTCCTTCTGGTTGCTTGTCATGTGCAGGGACTGCGTAGACTGACAGCTTCTGCTATGGCCCTGTTCCTTGCAGCATCTCTCATCTCATATTCCTGGAGTGCTCCTCAGGTAAGCAGTCTTGTCAGAATGAGTGTACAAGTATTAATAAACTCCATGGGTAGGTGTGGCGGTAGTACAGTGATTGTCATCATAGTAGCACTGTGCTAAAATATCACTTTTCTCTTCTTTGGTGCAAAGGGTCACTTCCAAAGAAGAAACTGGACTCCTCAGGCTATGCTTTATTTAAAGGGTGCACGTAAGTCCAACGCTATTTCAGTACTGAAGAATGTAGCTTTTCCCACCAGTTGATTATTCTTTATATGGTTTACATTACCCAAGCAGAAATCTCCACAGGATGCAACAGAGGTGGAAGTCCAGACAATCACATGGATGAATTGGATATGATTTCTTCTTTGCTTGAAAATATTGGTATTTTTTGGAAAGAAACTAAGAAATTGCATTGAAAAACATAATTTTTTAAAGACAAAAAAAGCAGTAGTCTTGAAAATGCTCAGGGGGTAGAAATTATACTTTGATTGTTAAATCAACTGGGAAAAATAGCTTTCCCATCTAAAACTTATTTCAAAGGCTTGAAACACAGTGGATATATTTCATTATCGCTTAGTCTTTCCTGAGCTTTCTGACAGTATTTCCACAAGCGACAGGAGAGAAAAGTTTCCTAGTGCAAACTTCTTGCATTGTATTAATACCATCAGAAATATCTGCTATGAAGTTGTTGAACAGCAGGTTTACCAATATCTTAGTATTATGGATGGGCAAATAAACCTCTAAGCCCCCACTGTTAGTCCAGTGGCAAAGAAGTATTAAGTTTATTGATAAGATTTGAATCCTAATTTAAATATTATAGGTTAAAGAAGAAAACCTAAATGTCCAAGAGAAATAGCTCCATAATTGCATGGCCAAAATAATGTAAGTTACAAACTCCCCTGACTTCAAAAGTTGCAGCCACCTTACAAACAGAAAATTTGGCCCTTGGACTTAAATGAATCTTTCAGCTTGAATAATGTATTTCTATTTTACTTAATCTGCACATTACTATTATTGACACATAAAAGTAATTTGTTTTTACAGGAAAATATTTTTTCTTTAAAAAAAATAATGGTGACCCTTTAAAAGCTTAAATTTCTTAAGGGAGAAAAAACGGGCTGTGCAATGGAGCAGCAAAGGAATATCAGGGAAGAAGCTGGTAAATTTCACCTATGGTTTTAAATTTTAAGTTTAATTCTGTTAAACTTTAACAGAACAATGAAAAAGGCTGAAAATCATGGTCTCCTTGGAATAGACCACAGCTCAAATAAAACATTCAGATTTAGGTTTTGGATTATAGAAAATTGCTAGTTCCAGCATATGTCAAAAGAAGAAACATGTATTGCAATATGATTTAAGGCATGCTTTAAGATTGGTTTAGTATTTTGCTTGCATTGTTTTTCCTATTATTTTTGTAGAGGGACGTCGTTTTATTTCTGACGAGAGCCAAAGGAAGGATCTATACGACAGACTGCAGCTAGGTAAAGTCATCTGGAATCATTTAAAAGTATATATATTATTTCAAATTGTACATTATATAAAAATGTTCCTTTTAACATTTTATGGCTTTTATGGCTAGTTCAATAGCTGGAGGATACTGAGGTTTTTTGTTAAACCAGTATTGTATCCTAGGGAGAAGCTAATATCAGGAGCTGGACAGCTCAGTCCTTTAAAAAATTACATTATAAAGACAATAGCCTGAGTCTCCTTTCTCTGCTACCAGTGTATCCACACTCAAAGTTGTAACAGGCTGCTTTTGTTCCTTGGGACAGCAGTGATGGACAGGGTGGTAGTGGCAGGAGCCACTTTCAATCTTGCACGTCCTCCAGGTTGGTTGTTATCCCCCAAGTTGGAGTTCCCACTCACACACCTTTAGTTATGCTACTGTCTGCACCGATGGAGGTGGAATTATTCCTGAATTGCTCTGGGCTGAACATAATCAGTCTGACTGTATCTGTCTCTTGTTAAAAAAAGAAATTAAATTAGACAAAATGAAATTAAACATTAATGAATACTTTAAACTATCAAACAATGAAAGCAGAGAAACTATACATGTAGGCTACATTTTTGGTGCAACTTACTATTACACTTAAATAAAAATGCATGGACAAGAGAACTTTAAAAAAAACCTCTGTAAGTAGAGTCATAAATGCAGATCTTTATATCTGTTTGTTTGTTTTATTTTGCTTTGTTTTGGTTTTTTTCTCTCCAGAAACACGCAGCCAAAACTCAAATCCTGTATCTCTTTCGGAAGCTGCTGCACTATTTCTCAGCTCCTTACGGAAAGCACAAGAAGAAGGTAAATGCACGTTATTTTATTCTCTGAGTTTCTAAGGGTTTTTTGAATACTCAAGTTAGGAAATTAATATACAACTGAAAGGATCTACCTTGGCTGACTGAAATTGCAAATTATGCCATAAATGATATTGTACTGGAATTTTAAATTAGACATATTGGAATAGATAATAGAGAACAAATTAGATGATGAATGTTGGCTATTCTGTTATTTCATTCACTTTTCTCATTTTTATCAGTTAATTTAGTGGCTGTAAGTCTAGATTCCTTATTGTTGTCATAATACTTTCTTCTTTGGATGCTAGGTACTGCTATATTGACTTGCTTTTGCAATCACAAACTCCTCCTGTTTCTACAGTTCATTGGCAAGATCCTCACACCTACTCCAACTCCTTTGCCCTATTCCAAAGGGCATCATGGAACATGTAAAAGCCCATAGACACCGAAGATGACAGCTGTAAGATTCCCTCTCTAGGAACCCCTTCTAAACTCTGATATCAGGGTGTTGTTGGGGACAGTGCTGGAGACAGAAAGTGTGAGTTGTGGACGAGATGTTGTAGAGTGTGTATACATAATGTTATGGAGATTTTGAGCAGCACTGTGTTTCATGGGAAGCCTAGGGAAGACCCACAGAGAAGCCCAGGATTAGAAAAACACAAAGGTGTTTTGAAGCTACTGCAGGCTCTGTCTACACTACAGAGTTTAGCTGGCAGAATTGTGAGGCCATCCACACAGATAGCTCCTTTGAAATGGAGCCCTCCCTTTCTGCTGCAGAATTCAGCCACCTCTGCTGAGCTGCCTGGCAGCTGCCAGGAGCTTCATGGAATATATCTCTACCTTCTGCTGGGTGCTGTGATCCCTATAGCACATGGTGCCTTCTGAAAGTGCACTTTGCAGTTTGGCAATAGCTGCATCTGCAATGGGGCAGCATGAAGCTGCCAGAAGTACATGAGTATGCATGTAGTTTGGTGGCTCAGCAGTAGCATCTGTCTGCTGACAGAACTGCTAACAAAGGCAGTTAAGAGTAGACAAGGCCTTTGCCCCTCTTTTTATCCCACCTGGGGAGTTTTGTGGTCTTCCTCTTAGACCTTGTCTTTACTATGATGAAGACAGTGTATTTTTATCTCAAGTTAGCTACCCCGATATCAAATACTTGTGAAGGCAAGGCAGTTGTTAGCTCTCATGAGTGAGCAAACCAAGGTTAATCTCTGCTTGACTTCCCAACACATGCAAAAACTTTAAAACTGTATTGTCCTCACTAGCATTTTACTGTTTATCAAGTCAAATTAAAAACAGCTTCTTCCATAGTGGCGAAAAGGTTTTAGATCTTCTCTACAAAATCTCATTTCAGCTGTCTTCAGATGTACAGGACCCATTCCTACTGTCTACAATCACCTAAAAAAGTCTTAATATTCTGACTAATATTAAGGCAATGTACTCTCTTTGGCCTTGCAGGATTTGGCCTGAGTAACAATGGCCACTTTTAATTTAATGCAGGACCCTATGCATAATATATAGACTGCTGCACCTGCTTAAAGCACTAAATTTTGTCTTATGGGTTGCTAACTGCAGGGAAAAAACATATAAGGTTCATGACCTGTAAATGAAAGTCAGTTGCATCTTCCTGCTTGTTGTTGATCATAGTGAATAATTGGTGTTAATCTTCTCACAGCAAAAAAGAATATACAGTATCTGAGAAATCTGAGCAAAACTGACCATCCTTATTGTGCTTGTGAAGCTGAATCTCTTTACTGTCTCAACTCACTAAGTCTATTACTTTAAGGGCTGCATTCAGCAAGAAGCTGAGCTCCCTGGTTCCAGGATACTTTAAACGTGTGCTTATTTTAAATGTGAAGAAACCCATTAAAGCCAATAGGACTACTTGTGTACTTAAAGCTGAGCACGTGTATAAGTGTTTTGCTGGGCTGAGGCCAGATTAGTCAATACTTCACAGGATGAAGCCAAAAGTATCTTCTTTCCAAAAATATTGCAAGATTCTTTTCAAGTATCTTTCTTTTTTCACAAAGAAAGTAGAAATCTTGCAAGGAAATTCAGTCCTTTGCAGTAGGTCAGTACCAAGCTTCTGCCCCAGTTAAATGCTGGGTATATTAGTTTCCTTTTGGTACTTTATACAGGATTTCTAGCCTAACTGCTTTTCATTGCAATGGTCAACATACCTGAATATGGCTCTAGTGGTCAGAGGAAATGGGTACAGCAACACTGCTGTTCAGGTACTTGCATAAGCATAGCATTGTAATGGGTACAAGGGGCATTTCTATATCATCGTACTGTAGTGCTACAGAACATGCAATGTTGGGAAGTGTGGACATGCCCAGTTTCCCACCAACTTTGGGTCACATCCTTCTTGTACGTTGTAACAGAAGCACCACCGTCATTGGAGCTTTAGAAGTTGAGAATATGTTTCTCTTTTATTATATCCCTCGCACCCTATTCCCATCTAATACTATTTAATCTTTTTTATAATCTTGCTTACTATAGTTTCAGAAGCTTTCCACACAAAATAGCCTTGTTTTTCAAAAAATAATTTCTTCCCACAAAATTCATTTTTAATTTATTTTTTCAGATTTTCTAGAAAACTTTCTGGCCCCTTTCCCCTTTGGGTTAATGAGTAAATAACTCAGGTGAAAAAGTTTAAAGAAAATGAAAACTCAGATAGCTGAAAAGACTGAACACTTCTTTGAAGTTCCTTTTCACAAAGTTCAGAACTATCTCAACTAACTACTGGCAGTAGCAGAGACTTCAACTTTGCTCCTCACTATTCCTAAGGGATCTAAATTTCAACTGAAATCACATTTCCTATCTGCTCTCTCCATATGCATTCTTTCTTTTTTATATATTTACTATTTAATTTTGATGGCTCTTGTGTGAAAAGCCTGGTTACAGCTTGTTGAAAAACACTGGAAAGAACAACATTGTCTTTTGGTGTGTCAGAGTAGTGATACTCAACCTCTTCAGTAGGGCTGTGTGAAACAGCAATGTTTCATTTTGACTTCCATTTTGCCGTTTCGATGGGACAGTGTTTTGTTTTGAGTTTCATTTTGTTTTGAAAGCACTGTTCCATTTCATTTCAGCAAAACGGCTTCACCGT